GGCCCTGGCAGAAACATTATTGGGACTTGTTTCTGCAATTTGAATGAAAGCACACACAGAAAGAGAGGGAATCGGGTGGACAGAATTTGGACCTGTGAGTTGGCAAAATGCCTCCTATGGGGTTGGCTGATGGGCTTCCTACTCTCCAGTGGGGAGGGGGCTCTCTGCTTGCCTGTTTGTAGTACATAAACTCTGCTCCACGTCTCCAGCATTCCCTCATCCATGAGAAACTCAGCACTCCTGCTATGTTGCTGGAGTCTCTTACTACAGTACGTGGGGAAATGGGGGGTGGGGACACGTGACCCCGTAACAACAGGATCTGGCCTGTTTCCTTTTTAAAAAACTTATTTTACTAAAATGAATTACACAACATAAACCTACTACCACACAGAAAAAATAAACAAAAAACCACAATAAAATACAATTAAATATCACACAGTGCCACCTTCACCTGCAGGATCAGCATTAAACTTCATTCAATCCATTTCCCCTCCAAAAATACATAATTTCTTCACTCGGTATATACCCCTTCCCTCTCCAAAATAAATATTGCAAAAATACATTCCATATTTTCTTAGAATCATTATTTTTTTGATTGGCCTCTTCTTATTTTCATATCATATGTTAGTTTGTCATTAATTGCCATGTCCCATAATTCTCTATACCATTCCTCTAGGCTGAATTGATTATCATTCCTCCAGTTTCTTGCAAATATCTATCTTGCAGCCGTAAGGATCTGCCCTATTTCCCTTGATGGTTCTATCTGAGAGGACGAATCTGTATGTGACCAAGTCTACCTCTGCTCACCTCTTCCCCCCACCCCTTACTTCCTGCTGTAGTGACCTGCCAGCAATGTGGGAATGACTCATTCCATGCTTGTGGCCGTCCACAGTCCACGCCTCTTTTAACACTTCTATTTTAGCTGCTGCTCTGAAAGGCAACAAGAATGGGGGAAGCCTGGGAACAACTGGGGGGGGGGGAAGCTGAGCATTGGACTGCCTCACTTGCCTCCAAAATGGTAAAAGAGATTTAGGGTGTGTGTGTGTGTTTACAAACCATGAACTTAGATCTGCCAGGAGGAGGAGGAGACCAGCAGCCAGCAACCACAGCACTTAGGGGCTCCAGATCTGCCGCTCACATCGGCTGGATCCACTACCCTCAGCACAATAGGCTCCTCTGCTAGATGTGGGAGGCAACAAGGGGGACCACCCTCTTCTCTTCTCTGGTAGAGGGACAGCGTGGCTACCTCAGCAAAAAGGAGGGCATCAGTCACCAAAGAAGAGAAGAGGTTACTAAGGTGAATAAAATTGCATGTGGTAATTAATGTGCACAGATGCAACATAGGAATGGTTTATATAATCTGTTAGCAGAGTTACAATCTGCCCCATTCACGCCAGGAAGACAGCGCCCGGAAGGCCTGGGTGGCTGCTGGAGGTCCTCTGCAGGTGTTGCTAATGGTTGATGAACGGCTTCAAGACATCTCCCTTCTTCTGGTTTTTAAAAAACAAATTATTTGATCGGAAGCGTCCTTCAGACACATGGCATCTTTCGAGAAGAGGGCCGTCCTCTATAGACGAGGGCAGGTGGCCTTGATATCTATGAAGCACAACAGTTCTCTTGCTCCCAATGGCAAGATGACAAGCTCATTTGACTGGAGAATAGTTTTTTCCAAAGACTTTGTGGCCAGAAGCCAGAATCGAGAAGGCTGGAATGGAGAAGGCGCTCTGGGCAGGGAGTCATAAATGGCTGCTGCTGCTGCTGCTGCTGAGGTGAGGCCTCCCTCCATAGCCCCACTCATCTAGAACTGCTCCTAGCTTGTGCCTCTCCTGCAGCCTGGAGTTGGGTCCTCCCCAAGGATCTGGGTTGCTAGGCTGCTGCTGGGGCACATGGGCCTTGGTGACGCTGCATCCCTTGAACAGTGACCCTTCCATGCCTTGAATGATCCAGCCAATGGACACATCCATCAGCCTTCAGTGGCATCTGTTCTCCCTACTGGCATCCCAAAAGCTTCTTGTGCCATAAGATGAGTTTAAAATATCACTCAGATTGCTCATAAATGTACAGTTCCTTCTTACATACATTAAGTAACTAGGAAACAGGATCAAGGGTTCCATACTTGATGGGCTTCCTTTCCATCAGGCCTTTCCTTTTCCTGAAAAGACATGTGGTGATGTTTGTTGTTTGGGGGTCTGAAGCTTTAGCATCCTCGAGACCTTCCCCTTTTCTCTGGGCTCTTCTGCTGCTCCAAGAACCTGGGCCGGCTGGGGATTCTGGGGGTTGCAGTCCACAGAAGGAACTTGCCTTTGGGGAGCCTGGCCCTAGGTGTCCCAGCAGAGCAGGGCCTGCCCTCCTCCTGCAGTGCAGGCAACAAGGTGCCCGGCCCACTTCCCGAGCTTGCTGGCTGCTGGGATCAAGAGCCACTGCCCTCTTTTGCGATCCTTGTTGAGCCTCTTGGTTTCTGTGCAGAAACTGGCTCTATTTTTATCTGACTAAAGAAGATCCGCTTTGCAGTAATTGGCCAGATAAACAGATACTTGCTGTACCAACCAAGTTAATGGGATACGCCGAGAGTCCAGGGAGCCACTTTACGGCGCTTTGCTCCCTGGAATTAGCTGGAAGAGTTATGGCATCCATTCTGGTAACCTATCCAATGAAGACTCTGACGAAGCACACACAAACACACACAAACACACACACAACACTGCGTATCCCCCGACCCACAGGAAGGCCATGCATTCATCAGGAGTAAATTTAAAGCATTTCTGGAATACTGCTAAAGCTCTTAGCAGAATGGCATTAGAGACAAACACGTGCGGGAGTTTCTCTTTGCAGTTCACCCAGGTCTTGACCTTCATTGACCTGAGAGAGATTATGGGGATCACCCTAATGGGCCCCGTTATTTACTTCCAGCAATTTCATGGGCAAATCTCTGTTCTTTCCTACCAGTTGCAGATATCATGAATATAGATCCCCAGTTAAAATTTACAAAACAAAATGGAATAGAATAAAATAATGAAACAAAGCTAAACTGTGCATCTCCCTCCTTCCTGTAGCAGTCTTCAGCTGCCTGCTCTGGGGGTCGAACTGATACGTCAAAGTCAGAATGGAGGGAGAAGTCATCCTGCGTGAGTTTAGCGGGGTTTGAAAAAGACTGCCTTTTGGACCACAGTTTTTTGTACAATTCAGGTCGGCTTCTCTTCTGAGCCTTCCTGTCCGATGCAGAAAATTCTCAGGCTTGAGAGTGAAGCTTGGAGACGAGAAGCCAGCCAGGTGTCTACCTCCCATTTGGGTCTGATAGTTCTGGACTTGGACATGAAATCACTACACACAGACATAAAGTGATGGGCAGAGATGTAATAAAATGAAAGAGAAACTTGAAGCTTTTGAAATTGTTTTATAAAGCCCTAAAAAAGAAGCAAGAACCCTTCCATAGGAAAGATTGAAGGATACATTTTAAAAAAAAGAACTTGAAGAAAGGACTAACAGATGAGGATCGAGGAAAGAGGCAGGACAGTTACTGAGCTGGGAGAACGTGTGAACAGGCCGACATCTCGCCCAAGGTGCCTAAGCGCTCTTTTATTTGCCCACTTTTCCTGAAGTACACGCGACTCTGCTCCCCCCCCCTCCGCATCACAACCCTCCCGTCAAGTGAGAAAGCCACCCAGAGAGATTCCGAGCCAAACAGAGCA